TCCCCACCTGCAGATCTCCATCCTGCTCACTGCCTTCCTCCCCCGCCTCTTGTTCCCTCAGTGGGCCGTGCTTGCTTCAACCACAGGGGCTTTGCGCAAGCTGCACTCCCTTCTGCCTCGCTCTTCACCACCTCTTTGCCCGGTAAACCCCTCTGAGCAAGTCCATCCCAGCCCCTTTATTGCCTCCTCAGGGAAGCCTTTCCTGACCTTCTTCCTGGCATGCGCCCTGCCAACCTCCCACAGCCCTGTGCAGAGCTAGGTATCGGCGTTTCCTTCCTCCACCACCTCCCTGGAACCTGGAAGACCTCTTGGCACATGGAAAGTCCCCAATAAGTATTTGTTGACAGAATGAATGAATAGCTTCACATTGACATATTAAAGCTGGTTCATTCACTCTCTAGACTTTGGGCCTCTCCTTTGCACAAATCCCAGTGCTGGGGGCTGAGAAGACAAAGGTAGCCATCATTTGTTCAACTGTCTCTGAGACTGGAAGCGCTCTGAGGGCAGGGGTCATGTCAGAGGTCAGCGTCCCACTATATGGTATTCTCTCTGTTAGTGGGCCCACTGTCCCTCAAACATTCCCCTAAGAACCTGGGGGTTGTACAGATTTCTGTCTTGCACACCCTACATCCAAGGATGGCCAGGTCCGCACACTCATATCTGCTCCTTCTGTGCACTGCCCGGAAGACAGAGCCCTGGCTTTGGAGTGTGGCATTCCAGGCCCTTGGGTCTGTCTTCCACCCACTTCTCCATGCAGCTCTTTCCACCATCTGCCTCCACCTTTAGGTGCCAATGACAACAAGCCTCGCCCTGCTCCCACCCAGGCCAGGTTGCTGCCTGTTCCTTGCTGTCACTCAGCTGGGCTGTGAAGTGGCCCCACCTCTGGGCCTGGCTCAGCCTTCCCTGGGATGCAGGTCACACATCGCCTTCTCTAGGAGGACCCGGTCCTGAAGTCCTTGCTCTTCTTCACCCCACTCTGTTCCTCTTTACTATGCACTGCCATTTTCTGCTTGTGTCTCTCCTGCAAGCATCTGAGAGCAGGGGATATGGCCTATTGTCATAGTATTGCCAGAATCTCGCATAGTGCTGAGTAAAATTAAGAGGCAGTAACAATTTATAGGTTCAGTCACCATTTGACTTGGTTGAATGGAAGGATAAATGTATAAACCAAAAAGTATCTGAGACAGGTCTCAATCAGTTTAGAAGGTTATTTTTCCAAGGTTAATGACATACCTGGGAGAAACGTCTGGTCTTTCTCAAAAGATTATTTTGAGGGCTTCAATATTTAAAGGTGAAAGTGGGCTGGAGGGGAAAGAAGGAGGATATGGTAATCCACATGTTACAAGAGAAAAGGAGCAGGTGGTAAATAATCAATTATGTATTCCTCCCTTGCTCAGTAAATTGGGACTTTGCATAAGATAAGGTGAACATAGAATAGCTGCCTGTGGAGATATTTAACCTTTTATTCTATCTGCTTAGGAATAAAAGGAAAGGCAGTTTCTCATATTACTCAACTTTCAGCTTAATTTTTTTCTTTTGGTATAATGAATTGGGTTCCCAAGTTTTTATTTTGCTTTCACAAATGGATGGAAGGATGGGTGAATAGATGGAAGGATAGACTGAAGAATTAATGGATGGATGAATAGGTGAATGGATAAACAAATGAGTGGAAAAAATGGATGGATAAAAAAATGGATGGAAGGATGGATGAATGAATGGATAGAAGGCTAAATGGATGGATGGATGGATGGATAAACGGATGGATGGATGGATGGATAGATGGATGGATAGATAAATGGATGGATGGATGGATAGATGGATGGATAAATGGATGGAAGGATGGATGGATGAATGGATGGAAGGATGGATGAATGAATGGATGGATGGATAAATGGAAGGATGGATGAATGGATAGATGGATGGATAAATGGATTGATGGATGGATGGATGGATAAATGGATGGATGAATGGATAAATGGATGGATGGATGGATGGATGAATGGATGAATGGATGGGTGGATGGATGGATGGGTGGGTGGATGGATGGATGGATGGGTGGGTGGAAGAATGAATTATAGAATAGATACATGGTTGGATGGATAAGTAGAAGAAAGGATGGATGGATGGATGGATGGACAGATGGATAGATGGGCATATGGATGGATGAATGAGTGGAAGGAGGAATGAATGGATGAATGGAAAGATGCATGGATGCATGGGTGGATGTATAAGTAGAAGAATGGATGAATGGAAAGATGGACAGAGATGAAGGAAGGAATTAATAGAGGGAAGGCAGGATGGAGGGGAAGTAAGACTTTTTTTTTACAAAGGTAGAAATAAACTATTTCTACAGCATTTATTGATTGCTGGCTTGTATTAGGCTCTGTACAGAGCTGGATATCTTACCCCATTTGGCCCTTCCAACAAGGCTGTGAAGTCAGTATCACTATTCTAAATTTTACATTTGAGAGAAAAAGGCCCAAGTGTCATATCTAAGAGGGACAGAGTATCTCAGTCCTCCAAACCCAGTACCTTCCCAAGAGGAGCATAACCTTTGGGCTCCGAGCCTGCTGGTTTGCCATGAAAGAAAGGGGAAGTATAGCCTCCAGCCTGGATTCTGCATGATGGAGCTGTCCCTCCTTCCCTCCCAAGGAGACTGAGATTGCCAGAATCTGAGCGTCACTTCCAGCACATCCTAACATGGCTCCAAGTGGATTGGTATCATTTTTGCTAATATTTTCCCAAGACCATGAGGTCTCCACCCTCTGGGTAATTTGGGGAGATTCAAGGTGAATATTTCCATACAAAGCAAGACAGCCTCAGTGACCAGCCAAGAGGAAACATGGAGGGAATGAGGGGTGGGAAGACTTCAAAACAACCTTGTGGGCAAGGCTGAGACAGTCCCTGCTGAAGGGGCATGGAGCACTCTAGCTGGGGGTGGGGAAACCCCACAGGGCCCAGTGGAGGGCTCACACAGAGGAAGAGAAGATGAAGGGGTCTGTGAACAAGCCAGGTCCTCTACCTTGGGCGAAAGTCCAGCTCCTTGCCTATAGCACATTACCTTCATTGTCGGCAGAAGGAACTATGAAATTCTCCGAAGCAGAAGCACACGATCTGGTGGGCGCCTGGCACAAGCCCTTGTTCTTCAGAGGGAACACTGAGTCAGAGAGCAGGAGAGGCTCAGTCAAGTCCACAGTGCATTTCCAGGACAGTGTCTATGAGAACCTAGGTCTCCATGCCAGGGCCATGCTCTTCTGCTACCCTTGACTTGCCTGTCTCTCTGCCTGGTGTCTGCTCATCTGCTCGGCAGGGCGGGCATGTAATTCAGCCACGACCTTTCATGATCCCCCTCCTCTGTCAAGTCCCAAGCAGATGCTGGGAGAGCCCAGCCTCTAACCACTGTGCTGAGCACCTGGAAGAGTTGTGAGCAGGAGGAGTGAAGGGGAGAGGAGGAGAGAAGTGGGGAGACAGGTCATGCCCCGAGGAGCACTGCCCCTATTACTGCCCTCACAGCCAATCCTTTGCACAAATGGGATCAAGGATATTTTCCCATTGTGTCTGTGGCACAAACCACCAGCACAGCATGTTGTCTGGGCATCAATCCCCTCCTGCTCCACTCTTTTTTTCTTTTTTTTTTTGAGACAGAGTTTTGCTTTTGTTGCCCAGGCTGGAGTGCAATGGCATGATCTCAGCTCACCTCAGCCTCCCGACTAGCTGGGATTACAGGCATGTGCCACAATGCCCAGCTAATTTTGTATTTTTAGTTTCTCCATGTTGGTCAGGCTGGTCTCTAACTCCCAACTTCAGGTGATTCTCCTGCCTTGGCCTCCCGAAGTGCTGGGATTTTTTTTCTTTTTTTTAGACGGAGTCTCACTCTGTTGCCCAGGCTGGAGTGCAGTGGCACGATCTTGGCTCACTGCAACCTCCTCTTACAAGCGATTCTCCTGCCTCAGCCTCCTGAGTAGTTGGGATTACAGGCACCTGCTACCACACTCGGCTAATATTTGTATTTTTAATAGAGACAGGGTTTTGTCATGTTGGCCAGGCTGGTCTCTAACTTCTGACCTCAAGTGTTCCGCCCACCTCAGCCTCCCAAAATGGTGGGATTACAGGCGTGAGCCACCATGCCCCACCACTTCCTGCTTCACTATTATTGGAATTCCTTTTCCACATCTCCTTCCTAAAGAGTTAGAAGTGAAACAAGATAAAGCACAGTTAAAGTAACAGGTGTGCTTTATCTTGAACCACCATACCTGGCCAGTATTTTGTCTTTTAAAATAAGTGTCAAAAGACAAAATACTGGCCAGGTGTGTTGGTTCACTCCTGTAATCCCAGCACTTTGGGAGGCCAAGATGGAAGGATCGCTTGAGCCCAAGAGTTTGGAAAAAAAAAAATTATGGTAATGATTATGTGATTATACTGAGATCATATAATCATATTTATATTATTATACTGGGATAATCATGTAAGGAAAAAATGGGATAAGTGTAAGTTACTGCAGGTAAAAAAAAAAAAAAGAAATGTGGTACACTGCATAGCTTTCCAGTGCTAATGCATGGTAGTAAGAATTGCAGTTGGAGACAGCACAGTGGCTCATGCCTGTAATTCCAACACTTTAGGAAGCTGAGGCAGGAGGATCACTTCAGCTCAGAATTTCAGCCTGGGCAAAATAGCGATAATCTCATCTCTACAAAAAATAAAAAATATTGGGTTTAGTAGCATGTGCCTGTAGGCCCAGCTACTCGGGAGGCTGAGGCGGGGGGATTTCTTGAGCCTGGAAGCTGGAGGCTGTAGTGAGCTATGATTGTACCACTGCACTCCAGCCTGGGTGACAGAATGAGACCCTATCTCAAAAATAAATAAATAAAAATACATATTTTTAAAAATGCAGTGGGACATGGGCTCTGTGACCAGGCTGTCTATGTGCAGAGCCCATATCCACTGCCTGGCAGGGCAGCTCTGTCCCATTCCCACTCTTTACCTGGCTCCTGTGCCCACAGGCTACTCCATTACTGAGGCTGTGATGATCCTGGGGAACAAGCTCAGAGACTACCAGGGCCATTTCAACACCACCCACCTGCTGGCCCTCTGTGACTACTTCCACCACACCTTCATCCACCACTACAAACTCTACCAGTATGTCCTGGGCCAGGACCAGCAGGTCGACCTGACCGTTGCCCACCTGGAGGTGTGCATGCCACCTCAGCCCCTCCCGCTGGCCGAGGGCATGGACAGGGGCTTGTGGACCCACAAGCAGCAGGTGGCTGCCCTGACCAAGGCCGAGGCACAGAAGCGCGCTGACATGCTGCTCCTGAAGGAGGCGCTGCTCCTGGAGCAGAAGAACTCGCTGCAGAAGGTGTTCACCTCCGCCATGTCCGTGCAGCCCAGCCGGGTCCTGGAAAGACAGGTGAGGCTCTGCCTACTTGCCAAGGGTGGGCACCTACACCTGCAAGGACATCAGTCCGGGCTGGAGTCACTGCAGATGGGAGCGCCTCGTTGGCACACAGGGGAGGGGGAGAGAAGCAGGGAGGAATCCAGAGTCTAGCCATGGGCTTCGAGTGTACCTTATCATGCAATGTCCCTGCAAGGAAGAAATTCTTGTCCCTATTTTAGTGATGAGATGACTGAGGCTCAGAGAACTTATCAACTCGCAAAGTCACCAAGCTAGCATGTGGTAGAGTTCACATTCAGACTGAGACCTGGCTGATCCTGCACTCTAAGCTCCTTCCTCTGTGTCATTTATCAGTGACGGATTCCACCAAGAGAGTCAGGAAAAAGACCCCAGTCTTGGAACTGCGGCAGATTCTCCAGAGCTGGCATGTACCCAGGCTGGGGGAGAAGATGGAGGAAGCAGGGACAGGAGGACAGCTTCTGGAGGGTCATGTGACCAGGGAGACAAAGGGTGGAGCTACGGCCCAGGGAAGACATGGGAGGATCTGGTGCCTAAACCTCAGACTTTGGACTGCTCTCTTGGAGGGTCTGCCAGACCACTGGGGCTCTAGCTGCCAGCATTTCCCATGACCAGCTCTTCAATGACTGTGACGAGCCTGGTCCCAGAGCAGCTGACTTCCTGAGGGCCTGGCCAAGCCTCCATTAGTTTCTAAGCTACACACAGGCACTGAAGTCATCATTGTTGCATCATCTTTGAACATACTTCGAGAGACAAGTATGTGCATGTGTGTGTATGTGTGTGTGCGTGTGTTTCAGGCACTGGAGTGTGGGAGTCACAGGGCCTCTGAGTTCCAAGGGGTTTTGGTTTCTGAATCATCAGCTGAAGAGCAAATGGCCCTAGGAAGTATTTCTTTAGGGACACACACACACACATGAAAATCTCTAAAGAACAATGAACACAGCAGCCTGGATGGTGCTCATCTAAGTAAGGTTAAGCCTCCAGACAAATAGCACATCGAGGGGCCATGTAATCTTAGCTCATGAAGACGTTCAATAGGAACCCAACAAAACCCATGCAATAGACTGTGTCTCTGGCCCCCTGCCAGGGACCTTGTTCTAGCACACCGGGCGGCAGGGTAGAGGTGGGGAGGCTGGCCACAGTGGGAGAGATCGGCCCCTAATGCCCTCCATGTCCCACAGCTCTTCCTACCTGCTGCTCCCAGCTCCATGTCCAGCCTCCAGCACGGCACTGCTGGCCCCTGCCTGGCGGAGCTGGTGAGCCAGAGCCCCCTATGCCATGTGCCCCAGCCATGCACCTGAGATGGGGCACTCAGAGCTGTAGAATAAACACAGCCCATTCTTGCCAGGTGTGGTGGCTCACACCTATAATCCCAACACTTTGGGAGGCCAAGGCAGGTGGATCACCTGAGGTTGGCAGTTTGAAACTAGCCTGACCAACATAGAGAAATCACACCTCTACTAAAAATACAAAAGTAGCCAGGTGTGGTGGCACATGCCTGTAATCCCAGCTATCCTGGAGGCTGAGGCAGGAGAATCGCTTGAACCTGGGAGGCGGAGGATGCAATGAGCTGAAATAGTGCCACTGCACTCCAAACTGGGCAAAAAGAGTGAAACTCTGTCTCAAAAAAATAATGATAATAAAAATAATAACGTTATGGAAGAACATTATTTTCTACAAAAACAACCAACGGGATATTCTGGGGCAATGTACAATTCTGCGTACATTTTAAGTGAAATACGAAATCTCAAATAAACGCACTGAAGACAACCAATGGCTCCCAGCGTCTCCCCCAACAACTCCTCTGCTAAATGGTCGCTCCAGCGGACAGCCTGGAGAAACGCAGCTACATACATGGTCCATGTCTCCAGGCTCTGTGGGCCATGACGGGGTTGAACAACAGGGTTTCCTGTTCAACATGGTGGCTGGACGGTGGCTGCATTTCCATGCCTTTTCTGGCTGGCTGAGTGAAGGATAAGCCCACTCTCTGAAGCAATTTCCCCGTCCCCTCCCATGAAATTGCCACTAGAACTCTGACAGGTGAGAATAAGGATGATGGGGGGACGGGACATCCAGATGGGGCCTGCATTGCTCAGGGAGTAGAGTCTCTAGGAAATATGGCAATGGCCAATGGGCCCAGGACAAATGACACACTCAAACAGCATGGCTGCCACTCTAAGCCGAAAAAGAAGAGGGAGGGTGTGACTACTGGAACCCAAAAAGAGAGCTTTAGTTATAGTCAAGGGCTGAAGGACAGAAAGGGTGACCATGGGTAGAGGGCCCCTGCCGTGGCCAGCCCACAGCTGGTCAGAAGGTGGGACCTCCCCCATCCTCAGACCTCCCGCCCCTACTTGGCTGAAGTCAACCAGAAGCCGGAGGTCAAGGCAGACATGGCGCATGCTCAGGGTGAGATGGGTGGACAGTGGACACATCCTCGGACCCACAACAGGGTCTGAGTTGAGAACCAGATCCCACGAGGCTCCCCAGCCCCGCTCACTGGTCCTCCCCATTCGTTACAGGAGCTGGAGAGCCTCGTCCACCAGGCCATCCACATTCAGATGGAGCTCCTGCGGGAGCTGCTGCAGCGCCAGATCCAGAACACTTTCGCCATCTTGGACCTGAAGCTTCAGAAGAAGACTCTGAACCTCAATGCCCCTGACCCTTTCCCACCCCCCATCACCAGCCACACAGGCCAGGAGGAAGCGCTGAAGCCCCACAAAGCGAGTAAAGGAAAGAAAGCGAAGGCAAGGAAGTAGGAGGCCCCAACCGCCACCCGAGACTGACTGGGGACCAGCCATACACAGCCGTGAGTTGTGCGGCATGGTGAGCTCAGCACCCACAGAGACTTCTTGCGATAAAAAGAAACAAACCCATGCTGTCTGGTCTCTGTCTTGCAAACCACCTGCCACCACCTAAAATCCCAACAATTTCCCTTGAGTGACAGGAGATGGTTATGCACCTCTGCTAAGCACAGAGCTTTGCTCTGGGGGCACTGGTCATGCGCTGACGAGCCTGAGCTCAGCTGAAGATGGAGCCACCCAAGGGTACAAGCAGGTAATAGTGAGGGTGCCCCAAACACCAGGGAACCCCGTACTATGTAACAAGAATCTATCCTGGCATTCTTCCTCCTGCCATTTCGACCACAGGCTTCACTGCATGCAGCCCAGCCTGCAGCTCTCCCACAAAAGGACCCAGAGCCCTGTGCCCTCCGGAAAATTCCTTCTTCCAGGAGCACCTGCACTGTCTGGACTCAGGAAGCGGGCAGGTGCTGTCCCAGAGGTTGGAGACCTGGCCTGGAGCCATCTCTGCTACGGATCTGCTGTGTGACGCTGCAGGCATCCCTTTCATCTCTGGGCCCCAGCTCTCTCTCCTGTCGAGCAGGGGTGCTGTCTCAGGTCCCTCTGTCACTAAGATGTACTAGGACAAAGACAAGGTGATGTTTGTTCTTCCCATGTGTCAAGGGTTTCAAGGTTCAAGGAGCACAAGAACCTATTCAAAGTCCCGCACAGCAGAGCGCAGAAGGCCTCCTGCTTCCATGCTGTTTTGGGGGGTGTTGTGCCTCTCACGCAAACAGCGGGAAAAGTCCTGAAGCTGTGGGTTTGACAGATGACTGTGGCCCTCAAAATCAGGACAGTGAGGGGGTCAGCATGTGCTGCCTCTTCCCAAGCCGGAGACCGCCTCTGCCCTGCTCTGCCATCTGCCTGCTGCATCCCTTGTGCCCAATGGGGCAGGCGCATGTCATTAGTCCATTCCGCCCGTCTCTCCTTTGCCACCTACTTTCTAGTTTGTGCCACCAGAGGTGCACCTCGTGTCCATGTTTCCAGGCAGAGTTGACTGCTTTTGGTGGCTGGGGGGGCACTTAGCGAGGAGTGCCCTGCAGAAGGAGCAGAACAGCCCTCGGCAGCCCTGACAGAGAAGTCCAGGACGCAGGAGGCCCCAGCAGGGAAGGCAGCCTCGCTGGGAGCTGCACCCCAGACTCTCCTCCCATCTCACCCTCTTGCCATGCCAGATGTGTTGATCCCCAAGAAGCCTGAGGAACTTCCTAACACCTCTTGAGACAGAGGAAGGAGGTTCTGGGAGTTTCTTAAGTTTTTTATTCCTTCCTTCCTCTTTCGTTCCATAAACATTTTTGAACAACTACATCTACTGTATGGATGAAACCACTGTGGTCCCGAGGGAGGTGTGAGAGCTGCCATCGGATCCTGTCTAGGGCCTCACCAGGGTCCCAGACACCCCTGTAGCCAGCGTGGATGGGAGTGTGCATGTGTGTGTGTACTCACATGTGTGTGGGGGAGCTGGTGAAGGGGCAGGTGGGTACAGCTTCCACATGGGCAAGGTGCTAGAGACCAACGTCCTACACAGGCTGACTTCCACGTGACTTCCGTACCATTTGGTGGCATTTGTTCAAGGACAAGCAGAGGAGGCCTGGGGGCCTGGCATCATCTGAGAGGCAAGGCTGGAGGAGAGGAGGGGCCCTGCTGGATTGGGAGGCCTTCCAAACGCAGGAGTGAACCAAGCAGCCTTGGGAAGAGTTGCATTTCAGGTGATGGGGTCCTGAGCCAGAGTGGGAAGCCGCCCTCCTCCCTCAGTCCCCAGTGGCATCTACAGGAGTCCCAGGTGTGGTGCTCTACAGATATGTATTTTGTGTGTAGCTGAGCTGCATTTATGAAGGGGTCAGTAACAGCTGGGAGAGTCACAGGGGTCTGAAAAGTGGCGTGAAGCCACAGCAGTGAGTGGAAGAAAGGCCTTGGGCCCCAGCCTCCGTGGAAGTCAAAACTCAAGCTAAGGATAGCAAATGGGTGGGCCCGTGGGAAAACTCCTCCCTCCCATCTTCCTCAGGCAGCAGCAGGGAGCCACCCTGTTAGAGCAGACACGGGGTGGACCCCAATCAACTGTGGGACAGTGGACCTCCCACCCAAGCCCCCAACTCAGGCAAGGCCTAAGCTCTCACACATAGGAGTGAAGACCTTAAACTGGAAACTGTCCCCAAACCCATCTGAAATGGAATACCTGCTAGAGCCTGTGGATAAAGGGACCATACATTCTGGGTTCTCTGGGGCCATCCTGGGTGATTTCTCTTATCCCGGTGTTGGGCCTGCTTTGGCATGCACCCCAGCTTTGCATTGTTTAGTGGAGTTCCATGAAGACCTGCTCTAAGAGAGGCTGGAGCAGTAGGTAGCTTCCCACCTGTGCTTCAGCTCCTACCATGATTGCATCCTGTGGTGGGGACTCTCCTGGTGTGTAGGCACGTGGGTGTGCGGTGAGTGAGTTCTCACCCATGCTCAAGGCTGGAACTAGAAGAGGCAGAGCGCTGACCTGCCTCTCTCCCAACCCTCTCCTGATTCAGTGGAACCCTTCAAAAACAGCACCCGGACCCTTCCTGAGATACTGAAATGCAGGCAGACATGAGCAACTGGGGAGAGCCAGCTCTGCCCACAGTGGTGGTGCTGAGAGGGAGGCTTGGCACCACTGCTCCCACTGGCTGCTTAGCGCCTCAGCCACTTGCAAGATGCATGAAGCCACCAGGCTCTGGGGTCAGTGGGAAAAGTGAGAGAGACGAGCCATGCACATAGGCAGTATGGCCAGGAGCTGGGAGGAAGAAGAGCTCACACGGAGGAGGCCCCACGGCCTTGCTGCAGTGACTTAGCTACTTACCACATGCTACAAAGCTACAGCGATGCACTTATCTTAGTGTTTGCCACTGCATTTTCATTTTTCAATAAACCCTTTTGGTGGCAATGAACTCAACAAAAAGGGAAAGTGCCTGAGTAATGAAAATGTAAGTATACTGACTTTCTCTTTTTCAAGAAAGTTAATGATGAGAACTGTAACACGCACAAAGTTGTTCTCTGCATCTACCAGGAACCACAGCAAGGCCATCAACTACCCAGAAAGCAAGTCACCAGTCTGCTCAAGAAGCGTCAGCAGCTACCTCAAAGATTCACAGGAACTTTAAGAAGCCTGTCCAGGCTGGGCAGGGTGGCTCACATGAGGTCAGGAGCTTGAGACCAGTCTGGCCAATATGGTGAAACCCTGTCTCTACTAAAAATACAAAAATTAGCCAGCTCTGGTGGAGGATGCCTGTAGTCTTGCCTTCTTAGGAGGCTGAGGCAGGAGAATCGCTTGTACCCGGGAGGCGGAGGTTGCAGTGACCCAAGATTGCACCACTGCACTCCAGCCTGAGCAACAGAGCAAGACACCGTCTCAAAAAAAAAAAAGCCTGTCCAGAATACAGAATCCACAATTTACATACAGAGGGGCAACTGAGCAGGTGGCAGTTTAAAATCGAGCTTGTTCTGTGTTCTAAGTTTTCTTACATGCAAGTGGAAAAGCAAGCAGTGGTCATTCACTGGAAAGCATCTCTGCAGAATTTCACATATGGTGAAACAATGCCAGTTTTAGCGTCACCAGATGCCTCAACAGAAACATCAGTCAATTCCAGTAATGGTCCACTTTGTTCATCCAATTCTGGCAAATCAAAGCTTTTGGGAATTCATTCTGGTACAGGTAAAAACCTTTCACCATTGCAGATACTATTGGAACTACACTTAAAAAGTTCAACAGTAAAGATAAAAGTACTTGTTTTTAAGGTGATTACACAAATATAAATGTTTGTAGATCTCAGCACCTTGGTAAAAACAATGGTCTCACTAGCATTTATCAACAACCGAGATATATTTAGGCACAGAGATGTATTTACAATTGGTTGTTTGATAAGCTGGGTGCGGTTGCTCACACCTGTAATCCCAGCACTTTGGGAGGCCAAGTCAGGCAAATCCTGAGGTCAAGAGATTGAGACCATCCTGGCCAACATTGTGAACCCTCTAAAAGAAAAAACAATAAACCGAAAAAACCTAATTCATGCTGGATAGAAACCCTACAAATGTGAGGGCTGTGGTATGGCTTTTTTTTTTTTTTTTTTTTTTTTTTTTTTTTTTAAGACATGGTTTCACCATGTTGGCCAGGCTGGTCCTGAACTCCTGAACTCAGGTGATCCGCTGGCCTCGGCCTCCCAAAGTGCTGAGATTACAGGTGTAAGCCACCACGTCCAGCCATGACAAAGCTTTTAACCAGTCTCCAAACCTTACTACACATAAGATAATTCATACTGGAGAGAAAGCCTACAAATGTGCTTCAGAGTTTTGGTTAAATTTATTTCAAAATATAGTTACTACAATTATTGTAGATGGAAATTTTTTTAATGTTTATTTTGAGATAGTTGTTAGTTTCTAGAAATGCTACTGACAGGCTGAAAATGGTGGCTCACACCTGTAATCCCAGCACTCTGAGAGGACGAGATGGGCAGATCACAAGTTCAGGAGTTGGAAACCAGCCTGACCAATATGGTGAAACCCCGTCTCTATTAAAAATACAAAAATTAGCCTGGTGTGGTGGTTCACTCCTGTAGTCCCAGCTACTTCGGAGGCTTAGGCAGAAGAATCGCTTGAACCCAGGAGGAGGAGGTTGCAGTGAGCCGAGACTGCACCACTGCACTCCAGCCTGGGTGACAGAGAGAGACTTTGTCTCCAAAAATAATAATTGTTATGATAAATAGTACTAGGAAAACTGGCTAGTCATATACAGAAAAAGTGTGGAACCCTACCTCTTTCCATACAGAAAATATAAGTCAAGATAGATTAAAGACTTATCTGTGAGTCTTCGAGCTATGCAAGTCCTAGAACACCTAGAAATACTCTTCTAGACACTGGTTTCTGGAATGAATTTCTGAATAACATCCTAAAAGTGAGTGCAATAAAAATATAAATAAAAACGTTGCATCTAATTAAACTTAAGAGCTTCTGCACAGCCAAAGAAACTATCAACAAAGGAAACAGGCACCCTACAATATGAAATAAAATATTTCCAAACTGCATAC